CCTCCCCCCCGCCCCTTCTGTGTAGCACTGTGCTTTGTTTGAAATAGGACATGTTCTGTAGTTAAAGTTTCGATTCCCTTTGCAGTGTCCCCACATCCTGGTTGTTTTTATTGTTTGTCTCATTTTGGGGGGTTGTGAACAGTATGGAAAACCCTGTTATGGTCTAAGACTGGGTGTTATATCAAAAAAATACATCCAGAGAAACACGACTCCTTCCTCTTCCCAGTGACCTCTTCCCAGCCTCCCTTCTTTCCTCTCACCCCTGTATGTAATCAATCTCTGGTTTCTGGGTTATGCCTCCTGTATTTGTTTTTTTCCACAAATGAGGAGATGCATGCATATTTTCCCATATCCCTTTCTTACAGGACGGATCTCACACTATAGCTACTCTCTTACAGGGCTTTGCATAGTTCTGTCATGGAAATCACTTCATGTCAGTATATGGAGATCTCCGTTCTTTTTGACAGGTGTATTATATTCCACTGTATGGATATACCACAGGTTACTCACCCACACATTGTTCCTCATATTCCATAATTACAAAGCAGCACTGAATACAACCTTCTGCATGTGTATTTTTGTGTCTTTAGAGATGTGTCTTCTAGGAAGTGGTCTGGGTCAAGAGTTAAGTGTGTACTTTATCAGGAATCCCCCGATTTCCCTCTGAGAGGACTGTACCAGTTTGCGTCCCCACCAGCAAAGCACGAGAATACCTGTTTCCCCACAGCCTCACCAACACAATGTAGTTATCTTTACTTGCTTTCTTTTTGTTTTTCAGCAAATTTCATAGGTAAGAAATAACTCAGTATAGTTTCAATTTGCATGTCTCTCATTTTGCGTATGTTTAGTACTTTCTCAGATGTTCCAGGGCTATTTGAATATATTTTTAGAGATTTGTCCCCTTGTGTCTTTTTCTCATATTTCTGTCATTTGCTTTGGTCTTTTGAAACCTTAATTTTAGAGTTCTTTATATGACAGAGATATTAGCCATGTGTCCATAGTATGTGTTATGAATATTTTCTCCCAGTTTCTCAGTCATCTTTTGTGACATATTGTCATGCCATTTTTTGAAAATTTTTATGTACTCAAACGTATCGCTCTTCTATTTTATCACATCTGGATTTTGAGTCATCCTTAGAAAACCTTTCCCCACACAGATTTCTCAGTGAGGAATCACCCATGTTTATGAAAATACCTTGAAATAGTGAAATCACACAAATGGTAGGTTTGCTAACATTTATTGGGGACCTGGGATGTTAAGACACTCCCATTGCTCTCCTAAGTGCCGGGGCACCCAGCTGAGTCCTGTCATTGTCATCCCTCACTTGGTGCTTTGTCACCGCATGTCCAGATGTCCCTGGTTACTGCAGACCCAGGGACACCATCTAAAACTGCTGGGCATGGCAGACTCCCACCTGCCCCAGTGCCTTTGACTCTGAAATGTGTTCCGTCTTGCCCTGGTAGGATCGTTAAGTGCTTACTTTAGGATTTCCTACTGATCCAAGCCCTCGCTCACACATCCCCACCCACTTCACCTCCCTTCCTGTCTGGTCCCTTTGGTTTAAGCAACTCCTTAAAATTCAGCGTCTTCCTTCCTCAAAGACCATTCAGTCACAGTCTCTTTATAGATGAACGAGCACATTCGTAGCTGTGTCTTCTGCTGAAGATACATTGTAGCCACGTGACAGGTGCTCACATCACAGGGGCTGGGCTGTTCAGCAGAACAGGGAGAGAATCCCACCTGGGGAGCCTGGGTGGAGGCTTCGTCCAAAAGAATACGACCGTCAGTCTTTTCTACACATTGTAGACAGCGGTGGCTACAAAATATACTGAAACATGTAACACTTACAAGAGTGTTAGGTTTTTTTCACCTTTTCATTATGATTTTTATCCATTATGACCATTAAGTACATAGGCAGGATTTTGGTGGTGTGGTTTTGTGCACATAATAAATTAACAATGAAAAAATGTAGGTGATGTTTAAAAGGAAAAAAATTTTCTCTTAATTTCTCTCTCAGTCTCTCCATCTCAACGTCTCTCTCTATTTCTCTCTCTCAATGTCTCTCTCTCTCTCTCTCCGTGGAGAGTGGTATCTATCAACACAAACCAAAAGATGGAACCTGTCCTTGAAGCTGCTGGTTCTGGGAAGTCAGAATGACCTGACGTTATGCTTAGGGGAGAAAAAAAAATAGCTATGTGCCAGGAAAGCCAAAGATGGAGATATAAATTAGGGGGATTTATCGCCGCATAGTTATGCATTTCAATTTTTAATTTTGACTGTTCTGAATATTTTTAAAAATTGATCTATAGACGCCTCCGCCCGTTCTCTCTGGGTGAATATTTACTATTTGGGATCAGCAGCAGGACCTGAGTCAGTTTCTGTAAATTGCACACACCCGGAGTCACCGGGTGGCTCCCGAGATGGGTTAGTAACAGCACAGCTTCTAAAAGGGGTGCAGTGGGGGGGGGGAGGCTTAGGGGGAGAATAAAACTACAGCATCCGAAATCCTTCTTTCCCACCATGTTGCTTTGTTTGTTCTGTTTTCCAGGGACCCTCAAAGTCTAGATCCCCCGGAGGTCAGCAACGCGAAACTGCAGTATGCAGGGTGGGGCCCCAAGGGACAGCAGCTGGTAAGCAAAGCGCATTCGGTGCCCACGTTTTGCATTTGATGAAGTTGCCTTTTTATAGCCTGAATATTATCTCACCCTGGTCGGTCTGTGTGTGTGAGTTACACTGCGGATAAGCACACGGGGCGTCTGCAAATGTAACATGTCTATTTCTTTCCTGATGGAGAATTCTCTTAAAATCAGAATTGGCCCTGGCCGGTGTGGCTCAGTGGTTAGAGCGTCAGCCCACGAACCAAAGGGTCGCCGGTTCAGTTCCCAGTCGAAGGCACCCACCTGGGTTGCAGGTTCAGTCCCAAGTGCTGGAGGCAGGTTTGATGTGTCTGTCTCACATCGGTCTCCCTCTCTCTGCCCCCCTCCCTTCCTCCCTCACTTCCTGCACTCTCTAAAAAATCAATGGAAAAATATCCTCAGGGAAGGAAGGAAGGAAGGAAGGAAGGAAGGAAGGAAGGAAGGAAGGAAGGAAGGAAGGGAGGGAGGATTGAAGACTGGCACCTGCCAGTGCCCCCAGAAGATTGGAGACAGAGCAGGCCTCTGTCTGGTTGGCTTGCCGCCGGGATGCTGACCCACGAGCAGCTCTGGAAGGATAGTTAATGAATCCCTTGGGGAGTCCTCAGTGAGAACAGCGTCAGGAGGTGGAAATGAAGGGCAAGTGCAGGAGTTGGCCGGGAATCTGCTGGAGCGGGGAGGTGGGGACTATGCCCGGTGGCAGAACACTGAGGAGAGTCCCAGGCTCTATTTCCCACTTGGAAGAGGGAGCCAGCTCAGTCGTCATCTCCCAGGGCATGAATGCTGCAGTGTGGATGACAGTCAGCCGTCACTCTGCATCTTCCTGGAGACGAGAATAAAAGTATATTGACCTAAATGGGGGCATTTCAGCTACACTTTATGAAGGGCCCTTAATAGCAAAAGATTTGGAGTCAAAAAGGCGACATTCGGCCCTGGCTGGTGTGGCTCGATGGTTAGCACGTTGGCCTGTGTACTGAAGGGTCAAGGGTTCGATTCCCGGTCAAGGGCATATACCTGGGTTGTAGGCTCGATCCCCAGCCCTGGTCGGGGCCAGTGCAGGAAGCAACCAGTTGATGTGTTTCTCTCACATCGATGTTTCTCTCTCTCTCCCTCCCACTCTCTCTAAAAATCAATGGAAAAATATCCTGGGGTGAGGATTTTTTAAAAAGGGGAGAGGGCAATATTCTTGTTTCTGGCCCTTACCAAAGGCACGCTCTCACCAGACAGAGACCACCAGACATGGACCTCGGAGGGGCCGGTGTGTGGATTAAGTTCATCCGTTTGGAGTTCACGACTTGGAGCCTCCTATAAAGAAAGTACTTGATAAATGATGGCTTTTGTTGTTATTGTTGCATTAGGATTATTACTTGGCTTAAGCAAAATGTAGAAAATGAGAAAAAAAATAAGAATTGTATCCAGTCAGCGTTTGGCGTGTGTCCGAAGGTGACTCCGGCTGCCCTTGAGAAAGCCNGTCCCCACCCAGCCCCTGGTGACCACCATCCTGCTCTTGGTTTGTATGAGTTTGGCTTTTTAGATTCCCCAGGTGAGTGATATCCCGCATGTCCTGTCTGGCTGAGGGAATGGTAACTGTATCGGATGGAGTGGTAACTGTGTATC